GCTGCTAGTGAGTTCCTCTTTCTGTGCCACTTTGAAGAAAACCTGCTTAGATCAGCAGACTGCATCAGGCAGATAATTTTCTGCTAACTGATACACAAAGCGAATGCTTGAACAGAGCCTTGTTTATTTGCTTTTTCAAAATTGTGACATTTCAGATGTCTCCTTGCAGCCAAAATGTCTCTGTGGGTCATTGTGTGGAGAGACGGCGATCTGCCTACCTAACATAAAAAAAAAGCAGGGATGTCGCTCGCCTCTTGCAACAGCCAGAAACACAATATGGGATTACGGCACGCCACTAAAGCCAGCTGCTGTGTTTTGCCTTGGAGAAAGCTGCATTTCACTGTTGTGAGAAAGGCTCTTCCACACACAGAGACACCACCGTCCTCACAAGAGCAACAGAGAGGCCACTATCTGAACATAGGGTTTGGTTCCTCTGCTAAGACTTTGGTCCTGTTCATACTCTGACTCCAAGCACTGAGTAAGACAGGCATGAAATCAGACCAGAACATTTGGAATCACTGGGTAAAATGCAGAAGGTGACCGCTGGTGATTCAGGCTAAGACACCAGGCACTGAAGCATGATCATATTTTCCCTCCTTGCTTTGCTGGGGAGAGAGTTTCTCAACAGCAAGGGGTAGCACCCAACTGGGGTTGTAACATCTAGAAAAAAACAAAGGTGGTACTGAGCAACTGGCAGGGTGAGGTGGGGAATAGATAAGAGCCACTCTTCATACTTGCCAGCTGCAAACACTGTTGATGCTTCCCAGCCCAGCATGGCGACTGGGAGGCTGAGCTGGCTGCCCCTCCACACTTCTCCACCTTGTGCTTTGGGTAATTATTTATGCACACACTACAGCACAGTGGAAATGCCAGGAGTTATCCCTGCTATCCCCACTGTCCTTTCTCAGCATCTTTAGGGACAACAGGATCACTGCTGACCTCAACTACCAACTCAGGAGAGGACTCTGCTACCACCACCAGCAAATCCATCAGCAAAGGTTGGAGACCTTGGACAGCATCCAGGGAAACATGTCTGAATAAGCCACGAGCCTGCCATGAGGGTCAGCACTAGCTACAGGTGATGCTCACATTGCAATCTCTCCCAGCTGACGGGCACCTCATGCTCCTCTGTTCCGCACCTCAGTCAAGAGCCACGCACCCAGGTCCAGAGTGCATGAGAAAGCAGAGCTTAAAATATTACATTAGGAGGCGGTTTTGACCCCACGTGGTGCTCAGGTGCAAATGCCTCTCCAGGGTGAAAGACAACAGATAATTGGACTTGACAAGCAATTTATCATAATGCTTTCATCTCTGCAGAATTAATTCAATACTTTCAATCCTATTTACTGAAACATTGGCACCCACGTGTATTCTCCTGCCATCATTTGACACTCAGCATCAGATGTGACTTGGTTGCACAATTAAATGATGCAGCAACGCCCTGATTTCATTTAAGCCATATTTACAGATCTAGCCCTCACTGAAGCAGCACAGGACTGACACTTGGCTTATTGTATTGAGTTCTGTTTGCTGTACTTCTCACACCTTCATAAGGCAAAATCCATCTTCCAAATCCTGTGGTATCCAGTCTTGCTGCCCTATTACTCATCTTGAAAACAGCATGACTCCCAACTCAAGCATATGCACTGCTGAAATAGCATGACCAAACACTTCTGGGGTATGAATCCTTGGGACAGAGCAGCCTCTTACAGCCTGCAGTGCCTGGGAGGATTTTCAAAAAACCCAGTATATAGTAATGCAAGGGCTCTCAAAACCACTGAGCCACTTCCCACAGAGACAGCCGTTCAGGGAAGGGTGGGCTCTTTTAAAGAAACACGAAATTGCAGTAGTGAAATTAAGTATTTGTATTCCTCCCTTCTTGCCCCTGGGCAGCCCCTCAGGTTTCCCCACAGGTCCTATCCAGTGTCACTGTCAATACCAGGCACCGCAGCCCTGATTAAGTCATTACAAGTCAGCCTTTGTTCCTCCACTTCCAGTCAAGAGCAAACAAGACACATGCAGGCTTAGGAAGCCCTGAAGTGCAGCTCTGTCATGGACACAGTGGGACAAGCGGTGCTGGCAGAGACCTGCAGACTCCAGATGTTTGGGACACAAGTGGCACCCACGAATCAGCTGAGCACCACCCACTGAGCATTTGATTGACTTTCTGCTGGAAGGACCACATGGGTATAAGCAGGGACATTACCAAAGTCAATTCATTATGCTAAGGCCACATCACCATGCGTGGTATTAGGTCACAAAACACAGGCCCAACCATTGCTAGGTCAGAAGTCCAAGCTTCCACCAAAAATCTGAAAATCACAGGTCATCTCCTTATCTGGAGCAAAGTGAGGGGGATCTAAGGAGACTACTTTGACCCTCCACAAGCAGATAGCACCCACAACACCTACCACATGGTCCATGACCAAGAGGCAGGTTCAGCCCCTCAAAGGTCTGGGGCTGGAACCTCCATGTTGCTCTCCAACTTTCATCATGAAAGGCTCTGCTCTGGGCTTCCCATTAGAAACATCGCTCCTCCATTCAGGAAATCTTAATGTGACTGGGAATCACCGCCTGTAAGGCAAGATGCAGGACAGCCCAGAGCCCCATTACAGGCCACTCATGGTTCAGACAGCAAACACAGGGAATCTGCCACAGATAAACCCCGAAACACCTGCTTTACAACACCGGGAGGATTCCCCTATAAATGCTACAAAGGTTTCCCTGTTGCAGCTGCCTGAAGCTAGAGATACTAGAAGCAGGTCCACCAGATAGAGGGTGCCATTAAACAAGCATTAAGCCTGAACAGTTCCAAGTAGCTGGAAAAGGGGCTGCAGAAGCTTTCTGTGCCTGCTTACCCATGTGCTGTGGTAAAGCACCATTTGCTGTTGAGCAAGACTCACTGCATGTCAAGCCAAAAGTTTCTCAAAACACAAGGGTTTCCCAAGTGCCCTAACCTTTCATTTGCTTTTCCAACTCCCTTTGCTGGCTTCATTAGGTTTCTACTTACAAGTTGCAATCCAAGACACAAAGCCCATTTCCCTTGCCTCACCGAGGAGATGCTCTGACACCACTAAGAGCCAGAAAAAATAACCAAAAAAAAAAAAAAAGGAGCTACCTCTGTGAGTCTAAAAGCACCTTACGGCAAACCTGAGCACACAGGGCCTTAGCCCCATCTTAGAGCTGGGAAACTGAGGCACAGATCTCCACAGTGACATGCTTACAGAGACATAAAAAGGATCATGGAAAGCCCAGGTGAAGATCTCCGTTTCGGTAACTGCATGCCTCATGCCGCAAGAGCTAAAGAGGCTGTTGCAGAGGGCTGTCACTGCTCATGCGGTGATGGCCCCGACAGAGATCCCTGGGAGGGCAAAGGGTTAAGGAAGGGAATTTTGTTACTTTCTTGTTGTATTTTCTCGTGGGGGGAGAAGCGGGAGTTTTCCACTGGCGCTAGGCCCCCTTGCACTTATCAATGGGACCTTTCAGGACTCACTCCCTGATTGAGACATCATTTCCTGTCCAACACACTACCCCATTGATAACTCCATGCTTGATGGGAACTTTTCTAACCTACCAGGAAAGGCCAGGAGACTCAGAAGAACATACACATGAAAACAGAACTGGGGCAAAAAGAAAAAGAAGAGAGAGAAAGAAATGGTTTTGGCCACAATCCGCACACTGACAACAAATATTTGTGATGACGAAGCTCTGCATGTTTAGCAGGTACATCAGACACAAAGAAGCCCCTGAGACACAGCAGTGGGCAGGCCTCTTTATTCAGACCAGTAAGAAGTGTAGAGGGGCACAGGAAGAAGCTTAAGAAGCTTAAGAACATCCCTCTTTTGTCTTCCAGCCACAGAGCAAACACAGAAATCAGGACCGGCCATAGAAATGGTCCTGTTTTCCACCAGAAAAGCTAGGAGGCCATAACGAATACAGCTTGCAAAACAGGCTAGAGGCTTCAGATGTCCAAGTATGAGAAATGACACATCAAGGGGGAGCAATGATGAAACTAGGACTCCCAGGTACCCAAGGGAGGGACCTTTTTTTTTTTTTCTCTAATTTGTCATGGTAAAAGGTTCAATGTTATTTCCTAGGACACAGCCCAGCCAGCTGTGTACGTCCTCAACACTGGCTGTGAGGACTCATTTGATATTCTCACCACAGCCCAGCTCCAACCACAAGCTCTAGCCCAAAATCGACATTTCCCCCAAAGTTCAGGAATCTGTCAAACCACAGCTTTTGTTTTCACCTGTTTCTAAACAAAGATTTCATAACCCTGGTAATTATATTTTTGCTGCCTACAAAGGTACACTGATACAAAGGTATCAATGGATCTGGATTATTGCTAAATACGATAAGAGCCATAAAGTTCTCCCTATCCATGCAGGTGCCATGGAGCAGCACAAAAAATTAAGTAGCTGATGCCCACACTGAAGCTTTGTAATCTGGACTTCGCTAGTTTTCTGGCTTCAGACTTCAGCCAGAAGCTAGTCAGCAAAAAAGCTTTCAATGAAATCTAAATACAGCAAGGGAGCTGTACAAAACATCAGGAGCCAGGACACAGGCTGTCTGGGTAGGTGGTTAGGAGGAGGGACTGGAAGGTTTCCACTGCCATCTCCACTACTGCACTGCTGTGGGAGTGTGCAAAAGCTCTGTTGTTTTCAGCGATTTGGGTAAGTAATTTCCGGGGGCCCAAAACTTAGTTCCCTTTCTGTTCTAAGTGCATCTGAAGCATGTAAAATTAGATCCCCTCTTCAATAGAAACTATTCATGAAAATGTCAGCTTTAAATGTCTTTACAGTGCAAGTTACTGGCTGTGAGCATACCACCCACTTATCTTATACCCTACAAGGACAGAGTCTGAAAAGTTTCAAGATCATGACACGTAACAGACCAAACAAGCACAAAGCCTTATTTGAAGGCATGGTTAACCCAGCTGGGAACACAACTAGAAGTGTGAGCAGAAATAATATTTTATGTTAGACAAAAATACTTACCTGCAGGTCAAAGAACTTGCTGTATCTCCGGTAGATGATCTGGGAAGTCAGGTCAGACCATGTTACATTGATGATATAGACCTGTTCAGGGAAAAGAAAACACAAGTTAAGGTGGGCTCTGAAGCACAGGATCTCTCCAAAGGCTGAACAGTCAGTACAGGTAAATTCTGCATCTTACTGGCCGCTCCTGCTCACAATGTGGAAGGTAACCCTGGGTGCAGAACTAGCCTAAATTTAAGGTGTTGCCCAGTTGCAGCCTTTAGCAGAAGTCTCAAGAGAGTGTCCAGTATGCTCTCACCCATCCCCATCACAAACTCCCATTGATTTTGCTCTCCCTGGGATGAAAGCTTTAATCGAGCAACAGCACGTTTTCTGGTTCGTGGTAGCACACCCTGCCCTCTACTTCTGCCTGTTTGGAGGGTCCCAGGAACAGCTGGGAGAGTTATTCCATGCCTGCAGCAACAGCCCATCATGGGTTCCTGATCTCCAACCCCACGCTCCAGGTTTTCCTTGTATATAGAGATGCAACTGTGGCCCTTCCCAGGCAAGACACGGCTCTAGTTCAACAAGGAAATTCAGTGGGAACTGAGCTCCAGGGAGGTTGTGGGATTACAGCCATGCAACTAAGCTGCTTACGCACACCCATACATGCACAACAACAGTCCAAACCTACAGCACGCAGCCCTTGCTGAGACACATCACGCCGCTTCGTACCTCTGGCACCTATCAGACTGATTTGAAGGTGATGTAAAGCAGGTCAGTGAGAGTGACACTGTTTTCTTACGTTGGTGGAAACAGCAACACGAGCCCAGAACAAGCCCAGGATTTCCCTTGTCCAGCCCTAGTCCATCCCCGAAACAACAATCTTACGGAAACACTGTTTTGCTGGAAGCTGTGACAAAAAGTGATTCACACACACATGCACACACATACATATGTGTAATACATACATGTAACGCACAAGTGTTTCCTTTTGACCCTAATACCTCCAAAACGTTTAAAGAAAAAAAAAAAAAGAAAAAAAAGAGCCAGATTTTGCTCTCTCATACACTTGCCTTCAGGCCAAATGCTGGTTCTGCTGCCTTGATGACAAATACACAACAAGACTTCAGCAAACACAGGATGCCCACTGAGGGTGACTACACAATGCCACTGTAATGGAAATCACAGCTAAGCCAGCTCCTGGGTCTTTAAAGCAATTTCCAGGTTTCACATACTGAGTGAGATAAAGATCTGTCTGAGGCAACAGGAAAGCATCCCTCCTCCCTCAGCCCCAGCTGCAGCAGGAGCTTTTGCCATAGACGCAGAAGCAAAGCACTCTGTCTCCAGTGATGGGGGTTGGATAAGCATCACACTCTGTCTCCCCAGGACACTAGCCCGTCTTCCAAGGTGCTAATGCAGGCTAACTGCTTCTATGCATTTAACAATAAAAGGTATTGCATGAAAACCGCTGGAGGGATGTTGAAGAACAGGCTTAACAATGCTTTTCCAAGGACTACTGAGGAATTTTCTCCCTTCTTCTTATTTCCCGGTAGGAGAGCAGTGTCATCTGATGTCCTGGAAACTATGGAGGTCCTGCAGCCTCACTTTCTGCTTGTTAGGAGCACAGGCTGAGGCCTTTCACAGAGCACTGAGGGCAAGGACTGAGAAAGAGCCTGAATTTGACTCAGTTATGTATTGAACCTATCTGCTGCTACCACCAGAGCAGAGACCATTGCAGGTGGCAAAGGAAATAAAGCCCAGGGGTAGGAGCACGACTCTCGGCAAAGCCGGGTTATGCCTCTGCTGTGTCTCATATTTCTCCTGGAAAACCAAGACACACAACCTCCCTCCTACAGTACCCATCTTCTGAAGGGTGACCCCAGCATTGCCCTGCTTCATGAAGGGGGAATAAGACTGCATAGCATGAAGATTTCAGGTCTCCTTTAAAGATTTTACCCACACAGACAAGCCAGAAGAGTCAGAGGCTGGGAAGGAAGCTGCTGTTGCCAATTTTCAGGCCAGCCACACTACACTGAAGAATATTTTTCCATGTGTTTGTTGTGGAAAAAAAAAAAAAATTGTAGCTTCACTCTGAGCTAATTCACAACACAAATATTTCTATTCGTTCTCTGTCCAACAGCTACTTTCAGATGGAAAACCCATTCGATTAAAAACAGATCATGACAGATGGGAGCTGACGGGGATCCAAAAGCAACTTCAGATACTGTAATTCTGGCCCCGGGTTCTCACAAAGGGGACGAGACAGGGATAGGAGAAACATATTGTACATGCAAATAAAGACTGTATTTTTTCTCTAATTATGCATCTTTTCTTCTGAAGCTAGAAATAAAACACATACGCCATAGACATCCAGGCTTTTTGAATTTCCTGTCACTTCAGGCTTCCCCATGCTACTTTCAGAATCCACAAAAACTGTGTGTCCCTGAAATTTTTAAGAGCCTGCATGTCCACTTGATCAAGATCTAGTCAGGACATGAGTTAATCCTGCTGTAAGAGCCCAGCATTATTCAGTGGTGCAGTAATGGCACAACACCCCCATCACGCGAGATGGGGCTGAGCTGGGTGCGAGGGCATGTTCTGGGCGAGAGGTTGGAGGTGTTTGATGCAGGACGCAGGACCCTACTGCACGGTGCAGCTCTGAAATCCTGCCTCTGTGGGAATGAAGTTGCCACTGACTTCAGTCAAGCCATGATTTTGCTGCACATCTAAACCAGCAATTGAATCTTTTTGAGCCTTAGGTCTCTTCAAGCTCAGCCAAGTGATGAATCCGGCAGCATGCAGATGCGCTGACTTCTATTTCATGAGAAGATCATAGGAGGAGCAAGAAAAGCCCTTAATCACAAGCTGGAGCTCTGTGAAGTGAGAAACATGGGCTCAAAATATGTGTGGTGGGACGCAGGTGCAAAATCTGAAATAGCTATTGATTTTCTTTGTTTGAGTAAATCAAATTTCTTCTTGAAAGCCACCACTTAAGATAATTGGGAATAACTGTTTGCTTGAACTCAGAAAAGATCTGTAAAATGCCAGATTTTAAAAGCAAGGTCTAAAGGTTTCAAAAGCCTTAGATATCACATTTCTCTCCCTCCAATCAGAGGGATCAGAGTTTGGTGATTATTCCCTTTCACTGCCTTAGCTGGACCCATAACCTTTTCATGAGTGGCTAACATTACATCAGCTTACCTCGACATTTTTTTTCTCAGATCTTAAAATGGGTTGCTGTGAAAGCGATCAACAATATCCCTTGGGAGAATGAGAAAAGCAGTCCTGGGGGAGCCCGAGGTCACACACATGTAACGGAATAAGGAGGCAGCAGGAAATATCAGATAAATACAGAGAGCCGTCCCACGCTCGGACGCCCGGCAGGCTCAGCACCACCGTCATGAGCTGACTGCAGAGCTGATGGAGGGCCTTCTGTGGCATCCAAGGGCTTCCCAAAACCTAGACATGTGAGCCACTGCTTCGGCACACAGCTGGTCCTGCCCACAAGAGAGTCCTGGGCCCTCAGCACACTGCTTCTTGACAAAAGAAGATAAAAATCAAAGCATCTTACATGCCTTGGAGCAAGCTTTTCCCTGTAAGTACAGTGTTTTCCTACAGTCTGTACATGCACAGAACTAAACTTTAATTGTGATTGCTAATGTAATTACTTAAAGTAAAAAAATCTGCTTTATGTATCTATGTTTACAACCTTAAAGGAGTCAAAATGCAGCTGCTATACAAATGCTTCACCTTAAAAATCCTTAACAAAAAAAAGTCCTCAACAATAAATAATAATTGAAGAACAAATTACCAACAACTCACTGCACACTGAGTGCTCCAGCCACTAAGAATGTTCAATTTTTGATTTCACAAATCCATTCTATTTTTATAGTCTGCTATATATTTTAAAATAAATCCTTCTTAAGAGAAACAAGAAGCAGGCCTGTACAAACTGGAAAATATTAATCAGGAACTGAGCTTGATAAGCCGCTCTTAATATTCACGCTGCATGAAAGAAGGTGCAGGATGTCAGAGGGATTTTATCAGGTGCTAATTATTGTTTAGCTCTGGAAAACTTCCATTTCACCCACAACGGAGCAGAAAATTTATTTCAAACTGAAATCATTGCTGTCTTTCCTGCCTACACCAAGCAATGAGGAGACATGACTTCCTGCTACAAAAGCCATTCACTCAGATGGCATTGGGCCTGACTTTTATCATTGAACGTCTTATTTTCAATGGAAAATATCCATTTTGAGCTGGCATAAATCCCAGAGGTAAAGAATTCAGGTTATTCTCATGTGACTGATTTATCAACGGGCTTTTTAGATGCTAATGTTTTGGGTTTTACAGCCAGATGAGCTGGAGTGGAAGATAAATGCCTGAAACGAGCAATCTGATGAGACCAAGACAAGAACATCAAATAATACATGAGCTATTGGCAAAGATGAGATTGAAGAGCAGAGACTAGAAATATCCCTGCACACATAAGAGAGGGTTCTGTTAACCTTTAATAAGTAATTACAGTAAATACCAGCTACTAAGATAGTTTTATGAATGTAAAAAACAATGCTATGGTGCAATTTTTATGCAAATATCATAATGATAGCTCCTCTTATCCTGGAGAACGTAATTTTCTTCAAAGTCTCATACTAAAGTGTTGGATGTTTGTCCTCCAGTGTATCATGACTGAGTTGGAAAACACACTCTTTTTCCCTGGTACTCAGATGCTATCACTGCCTCTGAGATGGAAACTTTTCACCAGCACAGCTCAACATGTGAACGCCCCCTGCTCCGCTTCCGAAATTCACCCCAACTCCCGCAAGGCTTCTGGCAACTTCAGCTGGTTCATTTAGCTGGTGAGGTTTATGTTAAAACAGCTCAAACTGTAGTAGACCTCCACAAAGTCAACAGACATCCATGCCTTAAACTACTGGAGCACAGGCACTGCACCGACTTACTGTTTGCGTGACTGCTAACCTCAAAAATGTTTTGACAAGTACAAATCGGTGCTAGCCCAGACCCAGGTTGGGAGTGATACCAGCCTAGAGACAGCACTTTCAGTACCCACAGGGCTGAAGCAGCAAATCTGTTCACCTTTTAGAAGTCACGTGATCGATTGGTCGATTTTGGGTACCTTCTTGCACCCCACAAGACACTGGCATCAGTAGCCAGGGTTTCCCCGCCTGGATGCGTGGGGAGGGGGACCCTGGTGTCCTCAATTCCTGCCTTATACAAGAGCTAGCATGGCAGCAGGGAGAGTAAGATGTCCCAGGAATAAGCTGGAGAATGCAACCCTTCCTCCCGCACACATCACCTGTGCCTTCCCTTGCCTTGGATCGCATACAGACTTTCGGAAAGCTCACCTTTGGCTCTGGATCCAGAGAGCGCAGCGTGGGCTCCTTGCCCAGCTCACCAGCATCATCCAAAAGGCCCTGAGCACTGTGAGACCTGGGAAATTCCCACAGAGATGAAGTCAGATCCTCAGCCTTGAGCCCAAGACGAGTCCACCACCAGTGCCATGCAATGATGTCACCTTTCAGCACAACAGTCTCCGAGGGACCACAACTCAGCCGGAGCAGGGCCAAGGGACGGCTATTTTCGACCCCAGTCTGGAGCTGTTCTCACCCCAGGCATCTGAGGACTGAGCTAAGGAACAGAGTTGAGTTTCGGAAGAAACATGAAACCCAAGCAGCCCCAAACGGGAAAGCTTCTCACGGGGTGGTTGCTGCTGTGGCAGGGTGCCTTAGAGCAGTCCCAAGCACAGGGCTGACACAGGTTGCTCACAGGTGCGCGGCGTCTGGCTTTTTCATGAAGCAGATGTGGTTTCACGGACATCCCTCTACCCAGCTCATGTTTCCATTACCAACTGGGGAAATGTAACAGAGAAAAAGCCAAAACGACCCACAGGTCTCATGGACAAATGTTGCACGTATCTAAGTTTTGGAAGCAAAAGCAGATTTACAGTATGCTGGGAGGGAACAAACCAGACAGCCCCAGCGTTCGCCAGTTCTCATCTGTGAGCGGCCACCACACAGGCAATTTAAACAGGATACAGCAATTGCAGTTTGCATCACAATTTGCAAGCTAATTTACAGTCTAACTAGACATACAGAGAGAGAGAGAGTGTGTCCTGGGTTAAGCTGAGACAGAGTTAACTCTCTTCATAATAGCTAGCAAGAGGCTGTGTTTTGGATTTGTGTTCAGAAGAAAGCTGATAAAAAGTGACGTTTATGCGGCTGCCAAGGTCTGCAGACCAGAGAAGCTGTGAGGGAGCACAGCCCCAGTTACTAGCCCAGGATTTAAACTTAGGTTTGGGATTGAGACCCAGAGTGACCAATAACCTATTCCATAACATACACGTCATGCCCAGTGCATAGGTGAGGACCCTCCGGAAGATCAGCCCTTTTGGTTCCAGATCTCTTTTGCTCCAGGTCATCTCGCTCCAGGTGGTCACTCTCCCAAGGCCTTCCCCCCTCTCCCCCCCCGCCCAGTCAGCTCTCGGTCTGGAGGCTCCGGACTGTTACCTCTGTTCCGTTAGTGCGGTTTCAGGACTCTCCCTTCTCTGGGATCATTAGCCGGGAACAGGCTGAACCTTGGTCATTGGGTGGGGGGGCAGTATCACTGTGTATCACACATTTGTATATTTGTATACAGTATTATTTTCAATATCATTGTAGTTTAGTTATTAAATTGTTCTTATCTCAATCCACGAGTCCTTTTTTCCCTTTACCCCTTTAATACTCTCCCCTATCCTCGAGTT